AGGTGACCTGTCCTGGGGTCAGGGTCACCTCAGCAGACTGTGGCCCCGCAGATGTGGGATCACCTGCCCTGGGAACCCTGGGACTGGGGCATCCCATGGGATTGGGGTCACCACAGGGAGCCACAGCCCCCAGGAGTGGGGCTATCCCTGGGACTGTTCCTTTGGGATCCTGTGCCCCCTTCCCAGGGGTACTGCAGCCCCCTGGCATGGGACAGTCCCTGGGATCGCCCTCCCTGGGATCGGGGTCACTCCAGGGACCTGCTCCCATTCCTGGGTTGGGGCGTTCCTGGGATCAGCCCTGGGGATCTCTCCTCGCCTGGGACTGCTGCCAGCCCCACATTTGGGGTCTCCTGGGAATCTGTGCCTTCTCCAATGCCTGGAGCTGCCCTGGGGATTGGCAACCCCCAGGATCTGCCCCATTTAAGACCCTGCCCGTGCCTTCCTGGGGGCTGCTGGGGTACCAGATCCCACATTCCCCCACCTCTCTTGGGGAGCCACGGTGGGGGCGAGGGTTTGGGGGTGTCCTGGTTGGGCTGGGTGGGGGGCACAGCCCCATCCCACAGTGTCCACTGCGGTTCTGAACCAGAGGTCCTGCAGCCACCCCCGGGGCTGGGGACACAGGGGGGACACAGGGGGGACACAGGGGGGACACATGTCCTGTGTTGTTTGTCGCTAAATCTCCCAGCGAGCCAGACGCTGCTGGCTCTCCATCCCCTACCCCAACCCCGCATGCCCCCTCCCCATTTTCCCCTCCCGGTGTCACCAGCAGTCCAGGCTGGGCAGAGCGTGTGCCCCCCCGGCTGACCATCACTAACCCATCCCCCGCACTAACTGACCCCTCAGTGACCCGCACTGACCACCCCAGCCCCCGCATGGTGTGGTTGCTTCTCCCCGCCAGGCCCCGCAGCCGGAGGGGGAGCATGGCCGGCTCCGGCAGGGCAGASCCCCGCCACCCACCCGCCCGGGTCCCCGCGGACTGCCCCGCCAGGACACCTTCGACTCGGGCGGCCGCGACTCGGAGGCCGGAGATTCCTGCTGCATGGACATCGAGATGGATCCTGTGGAAGAGGAGCCGCCCGGGGGTGCCTCACCACCGCAGCCGCCCCCCGGCAGCTGGGACGGGGCCGAGCCGGGACGGGAGAACCGCGGGCTGAGGGGCCGAGCCAAGGGCCAGGAGGAGCCTGAGGATGGCGAGGGTTGGGGMCAGGATGTTTACATGCGTTAGGGTGAGGGGGAGCGGGCGGGGGGCGCCCCCCCAGCGCTGGTTTTGGGGTGCGGGCYAGCCCCGCTGGTTGCCTTCGTGCCCCGCCGAGCCCGGCCGGCAGCGCCGCGGGGCTTTGCCCGGGGGGCTCCCCCTGCCCCAGCYTTCGCTGAGGGAGGGTCTCCCCCTGCCGCCGCTCCCCCAGCATCTGGCGGTGCCTCGGGCTCTCCCTGCCCGGCAGGGAYAGCAAGTGACCAAAGGGGACCCGGCGTGTCCCCGTCCCGTCCCCCGGCGCGGGCTGGGGGCTGTGTCCCCCTCCCCAGCGCTGCCTGCTGGGTGCCCCCCGCTTCTCCGTGGTGCTTTTGGGGGCGGTGGGGAGGGGTCCCTGCCACCGTCCCCCAGCCCAGCCCAGCCGTGCCTGGCACTGCCCCACAGCCCCCCGTGCCCCTCGGGGGGTGCATGCGTGTGCGGTGTGCGCAGGGCTTCGGGGGGCTCCCCGCTGCCCCCGGCTGTGCTCCCCGAGGTGCCGCCTGCCCGAGGGGAGGGGGCAGTTTGCATGTGTTTGCCTGGAGGGGCTCTGCCTGATTTGGGGGGGGTGGGGGGGTGAATTTGAGCCACTTTTGGGGGTCTAACCTGTGCTAACAGCTGCCCAGCCCTGGCCCGCCGAGGGGGTCCCACTGTCCTGGGACCGCCCGGCTCCGGCCCCCCTTCCCCAAACCCCCTCTCCCTGTTCCAAACCTCCCGCCGTGCCTGTCCACGCTCGCCCTGTCCAGCCGTGTCMGTCTGTCTGTCCATCCGTGAGCCTCTGTCCGTCCCCCTTTATCCCCCCCCTCCACCCCGGGGCACTGCCTTGTCCTGTGCCCGCCCCGGGGTTGTCCCTTGTGCCCCCCCAACTCTGCGGGGTGACCACACCAGGGTGGCTTGGGGACACCCCACACCCAGCCCTCACCGCGGGACCGGGCTTGTCCCATTTATGGGGCAGCCCCTTGCCCCCCACCCCACCCCTGGGGGCAATGATGGGGGTCCCAGGGGTCACTGCCTTACCCAGACCACCAGCCCGGGTCGGGGGGCTTGGGGCCACCCAGCTCTGCCGCTGCCAAGCCGCCACCCACGTGTGCCTCAGTTTCCCCCTTTTTTTTGGGGGGGGACTCGGTGTCACTGCCTGCCAAGTGCTTTGAGCCCCCCCTGCCCCGGCGCTCGCCCCCGTGGCGACCACAATCCGGGCAGTGGGGCCCTCCCCGGCCCCGCCGCGGGCAGAGGGACGTCCCGTATTTATGTCACTCCACAAAGTTTTAATTTAAAGACCCGACAAAAAATGTATTTTATTTATTTATTCTCGTTGGTGTGTGTGTGTGTGAGGGGAGGGGGACTCGCCCCGCTCGCTTGGTTCTTTGTAATAAACATTTCGGTGAGACCTGCCCCGCGCCTGAGCCTGCTGGGGCCTGGGGGGACACGGGGAGGGCTGCGGCCACCGCGGCTGAGACCGGACACTGCTCAGCTTCGCAGTGACCMCCGCAGTGACCCCCGCTCGGGGTGAGGATGGAGCTGGGACCTGCCCGGCTCCGGGGAAGGGGCGAGGACGGGGATCGGGGGGGCTCCAGCCCCCCGGGGATGGACAGCGGCAGCCGCCGGGCTCAGCGCGGCGCTGGGCCGGGTTTATCGGCGCTCGGCCGGGTCCGGACACGCTGCGGACACGCTATTTACAGGCAATAAATACTCCACGGGTTCTCAGGGCTGCCGGCACCTCCACTCGCTCTTCTCCGGCCGGTAGTCGAACGCCTGCCTGCGGGCAGCACAGGGGACATCGGTGACACCTCAGYCCCCGGTGAAGATGTCCCCACCCCRCKGTCCCCACGCCCCCCGCYCGYCCCTGGCACCCCGTTACTCACTCTCTGGCGGGAGCGGAGGGCCGGCACACCAGCCCGGCCTGGCATGGGCACACCTGGTTGATGCTGAAGGCCAGCCCGCCGGGGGGGACGTGGCAACTCTGGGCCAGYTCCAGTCGCCGCTGGCACACGCGTTCCCCGTGCTGCCGGGCGCAGCAGCCGCCGGGTCCGCACTCCTCGTCCCGCTGGCACCGYGCTCCTGGTAGGACAGAGAACAGCGGCGTCAGGAGAGCGAAACCCCCGCTCTGAGCCCCCAGAACCCCCTGGCTTTGCCCCTCTCCATCACTGTAGAGCTTGTCCCCAGAGTCCCCGCCACACCAGAGCCGCACTCACCGTCGTGCCCGGGGGCCGCGGGCTGCTGGCACTTGCCGAACATGCAGATGAGGCCGCGGGCGCAGTGCGGGTCGTGGCGGCAGTATTGCCCCGCGGGMCGCGTGGGCAGGCACAGCCCGAAGTGCTCGTCGCAGAAATGCCCGTGGGCGCAGGGGGTGGCCGGGCTGCACGGGGTCACCTGCGGGAGGAGAGGACACGGCATGTCAGGGGGTCCACACATCATCCCCCTCCCCATCCCTGACCGCGAGACAGGCCAGAAATCGGGTAAAACCCCAGCTGTCCATGCGCTGAAAAGTAGGGTTGGGTGCGGGTGTGTTGGGAGTGATTTTGGGGACCCCAAGTGTAGGAGCAGCCCCGCAGCCCTCTGTCAGGCTGGGGAGCTCCATCCATCGGCTCCAGGATTTTTTTTCTCGGGAAAAGAAAACCCGACCGGGCTGAGGAGTAGGTTGGTAACACAGAGMGGGGCGGCGCGAACCCCTAAAAGTCCTGCTCCAGGTGAGGCTCGAACTCACAACCTCGGCATCGCTCGTGTACCGCCCTATAAGTACCGCGCGCTGACCGATTGCGCCACTGGAGCGCTCGGCTCCGCCCGGCGCCACCGCGCCCCCTGCCGGCCCCGGCCGGACCCCGTGT